GTCTCAGATGTTTCTTCCTCTCCCCTCAGGGAGTTTCCTCCTGCACATGCTTGTATCATTACACACTCTACAGAATACTGGTGGGGAACCCCGTGCAGTTCCCTTCCAGGCCTGTTCTCTTCTCTCCAGGACCACACCCTGTGAACTCAAATGGTCCTGCCTCTGTGCACTCCTCGCTCGTTCTCAGTTTAAGGAAGATGAGGTCTGCTCAGTCTCTGCTCCTTGCACTGAAGCCTAGAACCTCTACAGGCAGTCAGCCAAGGCTCACCCTTCTCTGCTTCTCTTCTCAAGGGTCACCATCCTTTATTGCCTGCTATGCATTGCTTCAAGACTGTTGTGTCATACATTTTAGCTCATTTTACAAATTTGTTCAGACAATTTAATTTGATCCCTATTACTCCATTTTAAGCAGAAGTGTAAGTGGCCAAAAATTTTTAGTTGTTTTTATTCTACAACTTTTACCATTCTCTTTTCTGCAATAATACTTTTGACAATAATACTTTAAGAGATGTTTAAGAATCTTATTATAAATTGGGTATAATTACAAGATTAATCAGATATAGGAACAACCAGGCTAGAGCAGTTAAGCTGGTACATGGAAAACTGAAAGAGGATCTAACCATTATCTCTTTTGACAGGATGAGGAGGGCTTTCTTTTAGGAGATGAAGGCCTCCCAGGTAGGGGGAAAGTTAGATACTAGGCCACCCAAGAATCACAAGAGTCTACCATGACCACATTCTCTGATAATCAAGTAAATTTAATATGCAGTCACATAACACATGAAATATAATGTATATAGCTAGTATATTAAAAAGAGATTTTATTGAGTTTGGGATGTAAAATCAGTGGTTGAGCACTTGCCTAACACTAGTTTAATTCCCGTGGCATCCAAAAGAATAAAAAATAAAAAGTTTCTCTAGAAATTGGTGTTATGCTTCTGTCAACAAACCAAAAAGGGAACAAGACTGTGCCAGTTCATGGGGCTGGGGATATAGCTCAGTTGGTAGAGTGCTTGCCTCAAATGCACAAAGGCCATGGGTTCAATCCCTAGCACGCACGCACACACACACACAAAAAAAGAGTATGCCATAACATATGACTAATATCCTTCAGAAGCATTGGATTGTGTGGTCAGACTGTTTAGTTCTATGATGAATTTACAAACCCTCATTCAAATCAGCCATGTCATCTGGCATTCCTGCTACCACTGCATGAGCATTCCTGTTCTTCTACATCCCCACCAGTATTTGGTGTTGTCAATGTTTTAGGTTTTAGCTACTCTAATTGATATCTAGTGGCATCCCATTATTGTTTTAACTAACAATTCCCTGATGAATTTGAGAATCTTGTATATTTATGTGCCATATGTAATGCAATTGGTGAGGTATCTGTTTATATCTTTTGCCCATTAGTTTTATTGCTTTTTTCTTACTGTTGAATTCAAGAGCTCTTCGATATTCAGGATACACATCCCTTATCAGGTATGAGTTTTGCAAATATTTCTTCCAACCCTGTGACTTCTCTTTGCATTCTTTTAACAGCCAATACATTTGAAAGTTCTCACTCATCTTCAAAGCCCTCAGAAAAGCTCATAGACCCAAGGCAGACATGGTGTATAACTGACTGATTTTTAAGTAGTCAACACTACACAGGACTGAGGGTGGAGATGGTTGTGGGGAATGACAGCTGTGGAGAAAGCAGACATCCAGGAGTCAACACTGCCAATTTTTATTCCTGGAAGCCCACCAAATTACATCAACCTTTGACGCTCTCTTCTGCTCCTCAATCTTTGAGAAGCATTCAAAGGAATCTTCAGCTTCTCTCCAAACCTGCTATATCAGTGGCAAGCAAGGTCCCTTGTCCTTAGATCTGAGAGGCCCGAGCCTTGGATGTCTCCATGACACCTGTAACCCACAGGGTCACACACTGATCCTTGCTTCTCCCCAAAGCTGCTCTTGCTCTCAGGACCCCATTTCAAGGTTCACCCCATCCAGGAACCCTGAACCTCTGAGCCTCTCCCTGATGCCCCCACCACTACAGTCCAGCCTCATGACCCATCCAGGCAGTGTCCGCTGACCTGCCTCTCAGCCTCACGCTGGTCGAGCCCTGCCCTTGTTCTACACCTCTCATCCTGGCCTAGCCTCCTCCTTGGGTATCCAACTGTAGTCACATGCCATCACCTTACCCCCATTTATTTCGCCAATAACTAAAGAGTCAGGCTCTGTCCTGGACAATGAGGGCAGAGTGGCAACCTAGGTAAGCATAATGGATGAGAAAGAGGTAGGTCCCTAAAAAGGTAATACAGTAGAACAAAATGGAAACTTTAGTCCCTTAAGAGCTGAAGGCTCTGGTTTCACACATTGGTACACAGCAGCTCTGCTTACTGGCATTTAACCAGAGAGGCTTGAGGTGGCCGTCAGGTAGCTATAACAAGATGACCACATTTGCAGAAGCAGAAAACAAAATAACTGGGACAAAAGAACCAACCCCCACCCCGCCCAGGCTTAATGCAGTGGAAGTCACCAAGCAGTATGAGCTGAAATTCCCTAGTCTTTTGACAAGCTTGTACCCACATAAGGAACCTAAGGTGCATCCTCCAGTAGAATTGCACCAATCCACTGCCTCAATTTGCCCCAAACCTGCTTATGTATAAACCATAAGCCCTACTGCACTTGGGGCCAGACTTTGGGAATTAGCCCTCTGAGCCATGCCCACTAATAAAGTGCTGCTTCCAGATCTCGCTGTGTCCTGCCCTCCTTTCCACTACATAACCACTTGCCAGAATCCCAAAATCCTGTGTTCCTCTCTGCTCTGGACCTCGCGCCAGCTCCCACTGAACTGCCACATCTCTGCTCTAGGCTTCTGCGCCCTCCAGAACGCCCAGAGCTCTATCTGTCGCAAAATGACCCACCCCTGCTGCTCATTTTCTACCATCCCTACCTAGGGAAGCGCCCACCTCCCCCACTGAACGGTGAGTTCCTGACGGTGGGGACCAGGGCGGTCTTGGTCACCGCGCAGCACAGGGTCAGCTCCTGGATCACTAATGACTCGGGGAGCAAAGGCTAGGACCTGAAAGGCTGCGTAGCGCGGGGAGGTTGGGGCCACGCTCTCTGCTCTACCTGCGCTCAGCCTTGGGACTCGCTGCTTCTGAAACTCGCGAGCAGTGAGTGCCGGGTCCCCTGCGGATGCCAGCCCCGTTTCTCCAGGACCTGAAGAGGGCACTGAGGACCCTCTGCCTCTTCACCAACAGCTGGCGGTGAGCGGAGCGGACGGGAGGCCAGCGGGCGCCAGCGCCTCCCTCAGTGGGGCCCACACGGGAGCACTGGGCGCTGCGGGACCAGCGGGACCGCCCTCGAGCAGGTGGCTCAGGACTCTCGGTCCTCAGGGCGCGCCTAGCTGCTGGCGCACTCGTGACGTCAGAGGAGGGCGCCACGCTCGAAAGAGGGGGCGGGAGGCGGCGGCCGGGGCCAGGCGCTGTCAGAGAGCTGAAGAAGGACAGGAGAGGCACGTCTCCTAGGAATAGCAGGAAGCAGGTTTATTGGCAGCAGCCAGGTTCGAAGGTTTTTATTTTTATTTTTTTGCCTCCGTCAAAGCACCCCTTTGAACTTTGAGTTCAGAAAGTTTTAAAACTTTATATCCAATGTGTAAGGGGAGGAGCTCAGAGGCTCACAATCTGTAGAAGTTCACATAAAAGCAGCTTTTTCACTGTTCTGGGTACCCAATTCAAATCAAGGACACTCCGAAAATTAGTGTCTGGGAAAGGGAGAGTCCTTCTCCCCTTTCTTTCCACTGGCTGGCTCTGCAGGATCTGACTGTAGTCCTTTGAGATGCAAACGCCTCTGTGTAGGCTCCAGACCCCAGCTGAAGACCTTGAGTCCACTCTGTCTCTGCAAACACACCCTCCACCTGAAAACTCTGTTGTAGAAATTCTTACTGATACTATAAGAACAATTATGTTAAACAGAACTTTTGAAGCTTAGCTATGGCAGGGGTCTTCTGGGTGGAGGTCTCTGGCCTGATTCAGAGCTAGTGCAGGAAGCGTGGGAACTGGGTTGCTAGGCAGCCAAAGAATCCATGCTGCCCAGGTGAATCTGGTGGGCATAGGGTCTCCCCGTTCTGCAGAGAGTCACTGACAGGACCCCACAGCTCACTGAGGGTTCTCACCCTCACCCAGCACCACATTACTGGGGCTTCCCGATCTTGGCAGTATTAAGTTCAAGAAGAGCATCCCAGATTTCAGGGACAACAGCAGATACTGACTCCTTGCCCACTCCTTGGCAATAACCACCACTTTGGAGACTAAATCTGTAGGAGTGATGACCCTGTCTGGTCATCAGAACACTTCAGGGCAGACCACCTCTCACCTCATCTCTAGAAGTAACTGGAGAAATGGAGCACCCCATTTGGGATGAGGATGCCCCCATACTTAGTGAGAAACTCACCCTCTCTGTGACTAAGAAGGGCCTTCCTTCCCCCAGAAGTGAGAATTCCTTAGCAAAGACTTTCCCTACCACCATCACCCTAGCAATAAGCATCATTCATCTGGGTTGTGCCCCAGACATAGCCTTACACCCTGTCGCCACAGGCTGTGTCTGGGCAAGGGGCTGATATCTGGGCCTACATCTTGCAGCATGTGCATAGTCAGAGGTGAGCCAGTGGGATCAGAGGAGGATGCCAGGAAGAGGGCACAGACAAGTCTCACAGTAACTCCTCTTTCTCTACTTCTCCACTATAATAGTGTCAAGAAGATCCGGGGAAATTTACTGTGATAAGTGCTTCTCAATGCTGTCCCATCCTATCTTCTCCAGTCCTATCTGGCCTTGTCCCCACCCACAGCCTCACACTGATACTCTAAGAACAATTATGTTAAACAGAATTTTTGAATTTATGACAACGGTCTTCTGGGTGGAGGTCTCTGGCCTGACACTTCCTGCCTCATACTTCTTGCCCTCCTTCTGTAAGCCCCACACATATCCTAACTCTGGCATGGTTTCTTCAGGTATGGCCACCAGGACAGTCCAGAGGTGAGAAGCCTATGCTGTAAGATTCCCTTTCACCCAAGAAAGAACTTGTACATCTTATGCTCTAGGCCCTGCTTGGTGCTGGATATGCTGTGGTGGTGGTGGGGGGGGGCAGGAATCAGCTGGTGCAATAGCACAGTTGAATGTTTGTCCCATCAAACCTGGTGAGGGGAGAAGTAGTATGGACCAGATTTGGAAGAGATGCAAAGGCCAGTTTGTGATCCAATTGGTGCAAGGAACCCAGATGACATCCATGGGAGGCTTTGAGGAGACCTCAGGACTCCTTGGTGTGGGGCCCAGGGAAAATCTCACCACTGAGATGAAAATGTATCACTAACACAGAAAAAAAAAAAAAAAAAAAAAACCTGCAGGAAGGATAAGAGAAACAATCTCAGGAGAAAAGGGGGAGCCAGAGAGTACACCAGTGCTTCTGCATCAGACAAGGAAGCTGCACAGGAAAACCCTTAACCACTCCCTGGCAGATAAGGAGTCTGGTGCCTCCTAAAAGGTAGTGAGGCCAGGCTAAGCCACACTCAGAGGAGCATCTGACTCTATACCTGATCTCACCAGGTCAGCCGGAAGTTGGAGCTGGAAGCTGCAGTGGCACGCCTGCGCACAGAGATCCAAGAGTTAGACCAGAGCCTGGAGCTGATAGAGCAAGAGGCTGAGGCTCAAGGTGACCCATGGGGCCAGGAAGGTGGGCATTGTAATACTGGGTGGGAAAAGTGCTGACCCCTGTGTCTCCCACAGACCTGGCTGTGGAGCAGATGCTGCAGAGCACACGGGACACCCAGTATCGAGCTCTCCTCCGGGCCCAAACTGGAAACCTGCAAAGACAGAAGCACGGACTGCGAGTCCCCACATAGCAGCTGCAGAATCAGCTCAGGTGCCTACAGGACATAGAGAGGTGGGCCTCATCTGCCCAAGAGACCAGCTTTCACCAGGTGGCCACACATTTACCTCTGAGATCCCAGTGTTCTTACCTGATCCTTACTGGGTTCCAGAATTCTGCACAACCAACCCTAGGATCTAAGGCCCATAAGCCCAGTTAGTTTTGCACCATTTCTTGGGTAACAACAATAGACATAGGACAGGCCCCTGTTTATGCTCCTGGACCTTATGCTCTGATGCAGAGAAGGCTGACTGCAAACTAGGAAACAGATCCTGTCATTTTGGGGAGAAATAAGTTCAATGAAGAAAAGACTGTGTGACCAAGGGAAAGGTGTTTGCTACCTCAGCTAGGATGCTCAGGACAGGCCTCTCTGAGGAGGTAACCTGGGTTGGGGCACAAATATTCATGGAGAGGGAACAGCCAGGCTCCAATCTTGGCCTTCAGGAAGAGCTGCCAAGAGGCAAATACAGCTCAGTATTTGAAGACAGGAGGGACAAGATGAAGAGGTGAGACAGGAGAAGCAGTCAGAGGGCCCTAGAGGCATAGGAGTTTTACTGGTAGATGGAATTCATGCCCCACCTTGGCCATTTATAACTGTGTGAGCTTGGGCAAGGGACTTAACTTCTTTGTACCTCAATTTCTAAAAGCTATCTATGCTAAGCCTCAGGCTAGCATCATTCTGAATGGAGAAAAATTGAAGGCATTCCCTCTAAAATCTGGAACAAGACAGGGATGCCCTCTCTCACCACTTCTATTCAATATAGTTCTCGAAACACTGGCCAGAGCAATTAGACAGACGAAAGAAATTAAAGGCATAAAGATAGGAAAAGAAGAACTTAAATTATCACTATTTGCGGATGACATGATCCTATACCTAGCAGACCCAAAAGGTTCTACAAAGAAACTACTAGAGCTAATAAATGAATTCAGCAAAGTGGCAGGATATAAAATCAACATGCATAAGTCAAAGGCATTACTGTATATCAGCGACAAATCTTCTGAAAAGGAAATGAGGACAACCACCCCATTTACAATATCCTCAAAAAAAAAATAAAATACTTGGGAATCAACCTAACAAAAGAGGTGAAAGATTTATACAATGAAAACTACAGAACCCTAAAGAAAGAAATAGAAGAAGATCTTAGAAGATGGAAAAATATACCCTGTTCATGGATAGGCAGAACTAACATCATCAAAATGGCGATATTACCAAAAGTTCTCTATAGGTTTAATGCAATGCCAATCAAAATCCCAAAGGCATTTCTTATAGAAATATATAAAGCAATCATGAAATTCATCTGGAAAAATAAAAGACCCAGAATAGCAAAAGCAATTCTAAGCAGGAAGAGTGAAACAGGCGGCATAGCAATACCAGACTTCAAACTATACTACAGAGCAATAGTAACAAAAACATCATGGTACTGGTACCAAAACAGGCGAGTGGACCAATGGTACAGAATAGAGGACACAGAGACCAATCCACAAAATTACAACTATCTTATATTTGACAAAGGTGCTAAAAGCATGCAATGGAGAAAAGATAGCATCTTCAACAAATGGTGCTGGGAAAACTGGAAACCCATATGCAACAAAATGAATCTGAATCCCTTTCTCTCACCATGCACAAAAGTTAACTCAGAATGGATCAAGGAGCTTGATATCAAAACAGAGACTGAGTCTGATAGAAGAAAAAGTTGGCTCTGATCTACATATTGTGGGGTCGGGCTCCAAATTCCCTAATAGGACACCCATAGCACAAGAGTTAAAAACAAGAATCAACAAATGAGACTTACTCAAACTAAAAAGTTTTTTCTCAGCAAGAGAAATAATAAGAGAGGTAAATAGGGAGCCTACATTCTGGGAACAAATTTTTACTCCTCACACTTCAGATAGAGCCCTAATATCCAGAGTATACAAAGAACTCAAAAAGTTAAACAATAAGAAAACAAACAACCCAATCAACAAATGGGCCAAGGACCTGAACAGACACTTCTCAGAGGAGGACATACAATCAATCAACAAGTACATGAAAAAATGCTCACCATCTCTAGCAGTCAGAGAAATGCAAATTAAAACCACCCTAAGATACCATCTCACTCCAGTAAGATTGGCAGCCATTATGAACTCAAACAATAACAAGTGCTGGCGAGGATGTGGGGAAAAGGTGGGACTGCAAATTGGTGTGGCCAATTTGGAAAGCAGTATGGAGATACCTCGGAAAGCTGGGAATGGAACCACCATTTGACCCAGCTATCCCTCTTCTCGGTCTATTCCCCAAAGACCTTAAAAGAGTGTATTATAGGGATACAGCTACATCCATGTTCATAGCAACCCAATTCACAATAGCTAGACTGTGGAACCAACCTAGATGCCCTTCGATAGATGAATGGATAAAAAAAAAATGTGGCATTTATACACAATGGAGTATTACTCAGCACTAAAAAATGACAAAATCATGGCATTTGCAGGGAAATGGATGGCATTAGAGCAGATTATGCTAAGTGAAGCCAGCCAATCCCTAAAAAACAAATGCCAAATGTCTTCTTTGATATAAGGAGGGCAACAAAGAACAGAACAGGGAGGAAGAGCATGAGAAGATCACCATTAAACAGGGACGAGAGGGGGGAGGGAAAGGGAGAGAGAAGGGAAATTGCATGGAAATGGAAGGAGACCCTCATTGTTGCACAAAATTACATATAAGAGGAAGTGAAGGGAAAGGGAAAAAAACAAGAGAGAAAAATAAATTACAGTAGATGGGGTAGAGAGAGAAGATGGGAGGGGAGGGGAGGGGAGGGGGGATAGTAGAGGATAGGAAGGGCATCAAAATACAACATACACTAGTATGGCAGTATGTAAATAAGTGGAAGTGTAACCGATGTGATTCTGCAATCTGTATACGGGGTAAAAATGGGAGTTCATAATCCACTTGAATCAAATGTATGAAATATGATATGTCAAGAGCTTTGTAATGTTTTGAACAACTAATAATAAAAAAAGAAAGACATTGAAAAAAATAAATAAATCTAAAGAAAGATATTGTGTCATCTACAACTTTTTTTTAAAAAATTTTAAAAAGAAGCAGAAAGTGATAGTCACAGCTATTGGGGTTGGGGAAGCCTGGGAGGCTCAAAGTAACCAGAAGAGACCCTTTCCCAGCTAAGGAAGCAGGGAGGTGAGGGGTTCTCTGACACGGAGGCTTAGTTGGGGTCACGAAGGCATCCCAGGTTTAGCACGCATGTAAAAGCCCCAAGGGTTGTAAACTGTAGAATTAAGGATCTCCAGTCTAGCATGCCTACATGGGCTCAGTTTCCTCATATGTAAAATGGGGACAATGACAGTCCCTACTTTAGTGGGGTGGTAATAATTACAGGGGTATTTGATTTGTCTTATAACATTCTCTATCCCTTTAACCCACCCCAACAGAAGCTCTTAGGATGACCACCTCTGTTCCTGATCGTGTCCCCTCCCAAGGGTGATATCCGGACAGCCTGCACCCTCCGGGCCCAGTTCCTGCAGAACCTCCTGATTCCCAGTCAGGGAAGCACACAACCTGTGAATGTTCCCAGGAACCAGGAACCCTGCAAAAAATTTGGATTTCTGGCAGAATTCACTTCTTTATTGCTTATTCACATGAGGAATTCTGGGCTATGAGGCCCAGGCCCTGCCATAACTGGGCTCCCAAGCGGGGCCCCTTTAGACAGGGACAGCCAGGTGTCAGGGCCATTGAGTTTGGGGAAGCCTGAGTGGTTCAGTGCAGCCAAAGAAGGTCCCCCTTACACGGCTAAGGAAGCAAGTAGGGAAGGGGTTCTCTGGTGAGATGGTTTAGCCAAGGTTCGAGAAGATGAAGCCTATTTATACGTCCATTTTGAAGGTGAAAGCGCAGAATCCTGTATTGACCAATCACGTGAGTGCATAAGGCCATTATACCAATCAGCTTCTAGGCTTGAGCGTCATTACACCTCAAATCAGCCAATGGAAGTAGAAATATGGGATAGGAGGCGGGTCTTCTTGGTCTCCAGGCAATCCTTGGTGACTCCTGTGAACCTCTGTGTAGTCCTAGCAATACCAGAGCCACCTGCCCTACTGGTCATGTTTAAGGTGAGAAGAGAGGAGGGGTAGAGGGGGAATGATGGGGCAGGAGTTTGTTACAAGTGGATAGAAAACTATTTGGTACCCACTTGAATCAAAGTGTGAAATATGATATATCAAGAACTATGTAATGTTTTGAACAGCCAACAATAAAAAATTTTTAAAAAAAGAAAACTATTTGGAGATTTAGGAGAACAGGGAGGCTGTTCAAAGTGGATGGAGAAGAAGTTGAAAAGATTAGGAAGCTGGTGGAGGTAGGAAGAAGGTGTCAGAAGGACACAGGGTACTAATTTGTAAGGGGACAAAGAAGAAACTATGGAGAAAAAGGAAAAAGGAAGCTGGGCTCAGTGGCTCACACTTGTAATCCCAGCGACTTAGGAGGCTGAGGCAGGAGGATGGCCAGGTCAAAACTAACCTCAGCAACTTAGTGAGACCCTATATCAAAATGAAAAATATAAAGAGCTGCAGATGTGACTCCACAGTGAATTGCCCCTGGGTTCAATCCCCAGTTCAAAAAAAAAAAAATGGCAGGGGACGGGGGAGGGTGGTAGAGTAGT